GGCCTTTCGAGTAGCCTGGCCCACCTGGGAAGTCAAGCAGGATGTGGGGCATCTTTAAATCCAGGGCTAAAGTGCCCTGGCCAGGTGGCTCAGTTGGTTGGGCATCCTCCCATGCATCAGGAGGTTGCCAGTTCGATTCTCGGTCAGGGGCACATGCCTGGGTTGCAGACTCGATCTCCAGCAGGGGACCTGTAGGAGGCAGACGATAGATGTTTCTCTCTATCTCTCCTCCTCCCTTTCTCTAAAAAAAAAATCAGTAAACTATTCTTTAAAAAAAATAAACAATAAAAATAAATAATAAACCCAGGGCTGATGCACAGCCCGGGGCGGGCATGCAAGAAAACCTTCCAGGAATCCAGGCAGGGGTGTGGGTGTAAGGACCAGGCTTTGCGTGCTGCTAAGGGAGGCCAGCTCAGGAGGGCCTGGGCTCCCTCTCACACACTTTTCCTGTGTCTGCAGCTTCCAGAGCTGATGGGCTTGAACCAGGCATAGACTCTTAATTCTTAGTCCCATCATTTCCAGGGGATGTGTTCCCAGGGACGGCCTGGCCACCTGGAGGCAGCTGTGTGGTGTGGGAGGAGGAGTTTCTGAACTAGATTTAAATCCCAGCTGCACTGCTGACTTGCCACTTGGGGCCTTCTCTGAGCCTCAGTCCCCTGGTCTGCAAAATGGGATGAAGGCCATGGTCAGGTTTGCGTGTTTGTAAGGGCTTTGGGGCGGTAGCCTGACAGGTAGTGAGCCATCCGGAAGTGATAGCTGCTGTTCTTAGTTGTGGGGTGACTGGGAGGTACAGTGGGGTCACACAAAGAGGAATGCCGGGCTTTGGAATTTGGTCTGAGTTCAAATCCTCATCCGTTCATTCGTTAAATACTAGATGAGTGCTTATTATGATTTTACACCGGGGTTGAAACTGTGCTGCTTTCCTACTAGTCTTTGATCACAGGCAAGTCACCATACTTTTCTGAATCTTAGTTTCTTCATGTAAAATGTGGGTAAAAATAACGATCTTGCAAAACTGTTATTCTGTGTTTAGAGTGAAATGAGCATTTATAAGTGGTAGCTAGCTACTTTATAGTATTTTACTATAACTTTTTCTACTCTACTATAGAATATCTACTATAACTCTACAGTTTGTATGTAAGATAACTTGCCTTTAATTTAAAAAGATATATGCAGCCCTGGGTTCATTGCAGCATTACCAGTAATAGCCAAGATATGGAAACAACCTAAGTGCCTATCAGTAGATGAATGGATGAAGAAATGTGGTACGTATATACAACGGGATATTACTTAGCAATAAAAAAATGAAATCTTACCATTTGCAACAACGTGGATGGACCTAGAGGGTATCATGCTAAGTGAAATAAGTCAGAGAGAGACAAATACCATATGATCTCACTTATATGTGGAATCTAAATAAATTTAAAAAATGAATAAACAAAACAGGAACAGACCCATAGATACGGAGAACAAGTTGACAGATACCAAAGGGGAGGGGGGAGAGGAATTGGAATTTTAAAAATTAGGATCAACTAGCAATTTCTCTTTTGGGTACATACCCAAAAGACGTGAAAGCAGGGTCTCCATGAGACATATGCCCATTTAAAAAAAGGGGTGGAACAGGTTTTGGAATGAGATTTTCATCTCAGCTCCATTATGTGCTAACCTGGTGACTTCAGAAGTTACCTAGACTTTAGTGTGCCTCAGCTTCCCTATGGGAAAAAACACACAGTAAAACAGGTGAAAATAATTTAACAATATGTTTTACTCTCCCCCACTACATACCCCAAATATTATTTCAACATGTAATCAGTATAAAAAATATAACGAGATATTTTACATTCTTTTTCTTTTTTGTACTAAGTCTTCACACTGCAAAACAGCTCAGTTTGGACCGTGGCTTACAATGTAAGTGCCACCTGTGGCTTGTGGCTGGTGGCTGCCGGGCAGTGCTGGGTTAGCAGGTGTGGGATATGGGAGCTGGGTGGGATGTGCAGTCCTGGACCTTTCCTCCATAGCTGGAACCCATCTTCTTCACCCATCGGACGTGTGAACAAACCTGCCCAGCAGCAGACTGGTGAACCTGCCCCGGGAAAGGAGGCAACACGGGGGGATTTCATTATCTGTGGGTCATGTGGTGCTTCTCCACTGGACACATCTTCCTGGATAGCAGGTTACTGTGTGCCACTTATTTAGTTATTATTTTAAAAAATCAGAATTTTAAAAAAATTACCATGGACATACAATATTGTATTAGTTTTAGGTTCACAGCAGAGTGGTTAGGCATTTATATATAACTTACGCAGTGATCCCTCTGATAAGCCTGGTGCCCATCGGCACCATCCGTGTGCTATTTATGGAGCATCTGGTGTGGCCTGGTCCACAGAGGTTACTAGATGCTTCAGATCATACATGTTTTATAATTTTTTCAGTTACTCCACAAGCTGGTTTTCTCACTCCATTTTGCAGAGGAGGAAAGTCAGGACATGAGAGATTAAGTGCCTTATCCAAGGTCATACAGCTAGACCCAGCAGAGCTGAGGCGCAACCCTGATTTCAGACCCTGTTCTGACCTCTGCTCCTGCTGTTTCCCTAATAGGACCCAACCCATTATATTCTCTAAATTTGAGAAAAATACACAAAGAATTTAATGTGTGCATGTGTGTGTGTGTGCGCACACACACACACACACACACACACATATATATATATCAGTATATATACATACACATACACATATGTATGTACACATATATAGATAAAAAGACTGGAAAGCTATAATTGGAGAAAAATTATGACTTTAACAACAGTTCTATCAGAAAGGATGTATTCCCTCACTTTCTCTCTGCCTCCCTGCCCCCTGCCCCCCCATACTGGGGACCAGTTGGAATGTCTAGGGCTGACTAGTTGCCATGAGTGTTGATGGGGGAGGGGGCAGAACAGGTAGAGTTTCCTTAGAACTCAGCTGTCTGTGACGTCTTCCGTTTCCCTGGTTAGGGACCCAGAGGCAGTGGGGTGGCCAGATGGCGGCTGCGGTTGGGAAGCTGGGACTCATCTAGGGTCTTCTCCAACCTGCCTGGGCTGTTTGGTGGGAAAGAAGCCAGGCTGTGCCGTGTGAGCCTCATCCTTGCCTTCCTCTCTGCCGGGGGCTGGTGAGCAATGACGTGGCCCCACAGTGGGTAAAGGCTGGGAAGGTATGTGCAGCTGGCACAGAAGGATGGGACTATTTAGGCTTGGGGGTCAGGCAGATGTGTGTTTGACCTTTGACCTCGCCACTCCCTCATTTTGTGACAGTGGCAAGGCTATGGATTTCCCATTTGTAAAAGCGGATTCATCACTTTAGCTTGGGCTCTTTTCATTGGATGATACAGAGGTCCACTGGCGCCACAAGAAGGTATCCTGTGAGACCTTTCCAAACTCTGGGTTCACGTTCACATTCCATGGTCTTCCTCCTCCCACAGTCACTCAGATGTCAATGTCATCTTCCTCACTGGTGGGACAGGCCCCCCGCTGCCCTTGGTAGTGCAAACTGGGCACACAGCATCCTGTTACAATGCCTCGTTGTTAGAGGCGTGGTGGCAAACACTGCTCTTCTGCCTCTGAGAGCTCCTGACTCCATGCTAGCCTCCCGGGAGAGTAGCACGGACATTTGTCTTTATTTTTCTGCCCCATATCCAACACCCACTCCTTTGTGATTAGAAAACACTCCACCTACGATGGAGGTTGAAAGGCTGGGCTGGGGGCAGCTGGGCCTCGGCTCAGCTGGGCCTCGGCTCCGCTGGTCAGATGCGCATGGGAGCTGGTGATGCTGCAGAATTCATCCTGGAGGCAGTGACGGCCGCTGCGTCAAGTTTCCAAGGGTAGAGGCGGTGGCCTCAGGGCCTGCAGCTCCAGTGTCCAGTGTCTGGGTGGTGCTACAACCTGTGGCATCCTCGTGGCCTATGGTGTGAGTTGGGCCACTCAGTACACACACACACACACACACACATATCTATATATATATCTATATAGAATTTATTTTTCCTCTAATTGATTTCAGAGAGAAAAAGGGAGAGGGAGAGAAACATCAGTGATGAGAGAATCATTTGATTGGCTGCCTCTTGCATGCCCCCTACCGGGGATGGAGCCTGCAACCCAGGCATGTGCCCTGACTGGGAATCGAACCGTGACCTCCTGGTTCATAGGGTGATGTTCAACCACTGAGCCACATGGGCTGGGCGAGCACTCTGTTGCTTTTTAAAGCTAAGAGTCAGACTTGTATAGACCTGTTGCTCTGTAGTTATCCTGGGTTTTATTCCTCCCCAGACCCCTGTCTGCACTGCTTCACCACCCGAGCACCCTCCCCGGGCCACAGAACTTACGCGAACCCTGAGCTGAGAACCCTAGGTTAGGTGGGTGGCAGGACCACAGGCTTCGCCATCTCCGTTCATTGGCTGACCCAGATTCCACTCTGGAAGGCTGGTGTGGGTGGTAAAGGAGCCAATAGAAGATGGGAGAAGCTGGTGCCCCCAAGCCCTCTTCAGTCCCAGGGAGGCTGCCCTGGCCTGAGATCAGGCACCGGGCAGGCGGTCAGCCACGGGCCTGAAGTCTGCAGGTTGCCTGCGGTTTGATCCTGGAGCTTGGCTGGGGAGACTGGAATCTAGCACAGCAGACTAAGCAGTTAGAGCCTCGGAAAGGAGAAGTGTGCCCCCCTCCGGGGAATGGAGGCAGCGAGGTGAGTGCTTTGGCAGCGATTGTGTTTCTAGGGAACTCAGGGCCTTGCCCAGCCGCCAGCGGGGCTGAGAGGTGCTATCTCAGCACAGCTGTGACCCATTCGATGGCGGTGTTACCCTGGTATATCCAGCTCCCCGCCCGCCCACACTTGGGGGGCTGACGCTGACCTCTGCTGTTCTTAACTCCTTATAAGTCGCAGATATTTTCCCCAGCTTAGCGTTTGCCTTTAACTTGACGATTTCTCTTTCCTTTTGCTCCATTCGTTCTTGATCATTGTTCTCTCTGCAGGAGGTTCTGTGCCTTGACCGGAGGAGTGTGGCCCTCTCTTCAAAACCCTCTCTGGACACGCCCTCCTAGCATCCCCTGGGAAAGATGCGGCAGCTCAAAGGGAAGCCCAAGAAGGAGACGTCCAAGGACAAGAAGGAGCGGAAGCAGGCCATGCAGGAGGCCCGGCAGCAGATCACCACGGTGGTGCTGCCCACGCTGGCCGTGGTCGTGCTCCTGATTGTGGTGTTCGTGTACGTGGCCACGCGCCCCACCGTTACCGAGTGAGCCGCAGGCGGGGGAGAGCCGCGGAAACATGGCTGGCGTCCTCAGAGATTTTCCTGATGCTGAGCTCTGAGCAGGAGCACCTGTCTTCTCTGCTCTTTGACTTGATTAAAGTTTTTCCACTTTTCTTGGGAGGGAATAGGGAGCGTTTTATCAGTGAATGTGCCATACACCTTATGGTCCACTTCATGTGCCTTTCAGACTTCAAAGCGGTGTGTGTGTGTGTGTGTGTGTGTGTGTGTGTGTGTGTGTGTGTGTGTTTCTCTCTCCTAAAACCCATGTGCAGCTCCCCCTGGTGAGAGGAGGGGCGCCGGGATCATGAATGAGTTGGAATCAGTGCTCACCCCACCCCCATTGTTTCAAACATGACTCTTTTCCGACCTGTGTCCACAATTTCCAAAGGGACTGTATTTCTTCTCTGTGCTTAATGTGATTTTAAAGATGTCGACTCAAAAGTGAAATATTTATTTTTCGAATAAAGGAGATGATAGCCTTTAACCACTGGATGTTTATCTGGTTTTGCCAGAGGCGGCTCCCGCTCTGGGCCTCTGCCCGTCCCCTGCACACCTCCTCTGAGGCTTTCTCCCCCACCCACCCCCACTTCCTGCTGTGAATCACTTCCAGGAAAATTGTGCTTTTTGACCACATCATTTTAAGACAGAGAATCTGGAGAGGGCAGCAAGGGTGTGTTAATTGGTCTGTCTCAGCAAAATAAGAGTTCTAATTGGAATGGTGCTTTTTACAGCACATAGCAAACAGCGAGGAAGAGCTGGTCCTGGAGGGGAAGGTCAGGTTGGGTTCTGTTCTGGCTGAAAGGATGCAAATTGTTGGGTGGGCCACTGAGGGTCTGATGCAGCCTGGCCATGCTGGCAGGGGGGGGGTCTGTGTTGTATCCTAAAGACATGGGTAGCTCTGTCCTGATTCCTGATGGAGCAGCCCCTTTTTGGACGTCAGATTTCCCGGACTCTGCCGAGGGCCTGTTCTCCTGTCATTGTTGATTACAGAGAGATGTGGGGGGGGGGGGGGGGGGGAAAAAAGGTGTTTTAATTTTTAATCGTAGAGGCTGCACCATGCGCTCACTGATGACAGGCTGTTCCTGAGAACGTGGGGCCTCTCCGAGTGAGTCTCAGGAAGACAAAGCAGCTGTTGAAAGCAAGGATGCCAGCTGATACTCGGAGATCCCAGGGCTGACGGGGCTGACGGGGCTCTTGGGCCTCCTAGTGGGAGACACCATGCCACCTTGCCCTCACTCAAGTGCCCGTGGCCCTGGAAAGAGATTTACTAAAATGATTGTCAAATGCAAAGCTGATCGCATAAAGTTCCTCTTAGATTTCTATTTCCATCCCCTTTATTTGGTTCTCTTAGGAGCCTCAGGGCTTGTTGGTTTCATTCAGCAACCTACACAAAAATAGCATGATACAGTATCCGGAAGGTACCCATTGACCTGCTTCAGCAAACCCCACCCTGGGCCACTCCTGCTCATCCATCTCGACCTCCTCGCACACCCAGACACTCACGTGCACACCACATTGGGTTATTTTGCAGCAAAACAGGAGATGGGACTTAAACCCAGCCAGTCTGGTTTCCGAGTTCATGCTCTTCATCATTAAGATCTACTACCTCTTCATACTGACTTTCTCTACTCCACTCTCCCAGTCTACAGAAACCTTTCCTGCCCAGGTGTGAACGAACTCTTTTGTTTGGGGATTATGTGTTCCCAAGTTTTCATGGGCTTGTAATGGGCCCACCCCCTCTGGCTGATGGATGATCTCTGTTCCCAGGTTTGACTGGCAGCAAGCATTTTTCTGACGTCACCCTGACTCACTGCATGCACCCATCTTCCCCTCGGTCCAGTTCCTTCCCCCGGTAATCTGCAGGGAATGGACCCGTGGTTCCCCTGGGGAGTGTGAAATGGCAGCTTCCTGGTGAAGCTGCCCAAATGACATGCCTGTAATGTCTGGTCTTCCCTTTGCTCCTTTCTTATTATTAATAACTAGCTAATTACAATGGTATCAATAGCATGCCTAGTACATTTTAGGTGCTCATAGCCATTCCCTTCCTCCTTGTCTGTGTGTTCAGCTCACAGAACGTGCATACAGGCCTGCCTCCTGAGGCTTTACTTGACAGGCTCACACCACACGTTGTATAACAGACCCTTTAGGTGCCTCTGGGTCTTATTTTCACCTCCTGTTTTCCTCTTCATTGTCCATCAGGAGGCCTAGGGGATTTGAACTGGGTTTTCAGAAGGCAGTTACTAGATGGGCTTGGTGAAAGCAGGCTGAAAATGGACGTTTAAAAGGAATACAACTTTGACATGAGCCACCTCCTGGAGGGGACCAAATGCCAACTGACTGTGGACTTGAGTTTAACAGTTCTCAGGGTAAACAGGAGTCCCATGTGGATCGACTGGGTAATTTTTTTTTTTGAGACATTAGCTTTCAAATTGGTCCCAGTTATTCAATGGCTTCAAGCAAAACTGAATAATTTAGTAGCAGTTTCACAGAGAGTCACGCTGGGTTCTGCTGTAGGATATGGGGCTCTTGGCTTTCTGAGTCCTCATTACCGAGCTTAACATTTCGTGAAGAACAAATCCCAAAAGAAGAATCAGGTTAGAAACAGGAATAGAAACCATTGTCATTCATGTAAAAGGTGTCACCGGATGTGTTTGTGTGTCTGTTGGTTCTGAAGCCAGCAGCTTAATTTCTACCTTTCAGTTCAAAGACAGAGCAGCACACGCCCATCATTCCTTCCTGCCTCCTTCATGAAGCAACAGGAAGGAACCTGCAGCCAGACTCACCTGTAAACTGGAGACCGTAACATCTGCCTCGGGGTTGTGAGAAGGATTAAAGAGATGACTGTCCATCCCTTTTCCCCAAAAGGATTTCACATCAATATTTACTCACTAGAGCTAGAAAAAGAAGGAACTTCCTTGAAATTGTGGCTTTTAGATGTCTTGGTGGAAGTCTGCCATCATATGCGTGTGTATGTATGTCACACACACACACACACACACACACACACACACACATCCACCCCTTATAGCTCTGTATTGAAAATGTCCCAGGTGGTCTGACACCTGAAGGTGTCTTCCTTGCTTTGAATGCAATTTATATTTTAGGAACCATGTCTAATTCTCTTCTCTACAATATTTACCACAGACTTGCTTAAACTTTAAAAGTGAGATACAGAATCTTCGGATCAGGGAAACATGAGTAGCTTCCTCTCAGTCCTTCCAGAATGTATGTACTAGGATTGCATAAGGGTTTGCACATCTGGATTCCTGTCCTGCTCTCCCCCAGGCTTCAAAGTAAGTTTTGCCTCCCTCACTCTATCAGGCCTGATTTTTTCTTATGGGTCTTTTTGTTCTACAGTAGCTAGTCTGTCCTCGTCTGTTCTGAGTATTTTCTCGTTATTCTGCAGGCGTATGTCTCTGACGTAACTGTATCTCAGTGGGGTCATCTATATTATCCCCCTGCCTGCCAGTTCCGTGGAAGGGAGCCAGTCTTTTAAAAAAGCATTTAATCCCTTGAGCTGTTGGGTAATAGCAAGGAATGGAGACCAGAGCGAGTCATGCCGTGATGAAGGCTCTCTCCTTTGTCGTTCCCTTCCCTATGGTTATATGAAGGTTGTCTGTCTTGGAACCCCCTCTAGGACTGAGACTTTTCCCCAGCCTGTGAATATTCCTTTTTGATATAAGGCACAGCTGGCCACACACTGAACACCTCATCTCTTTCAGAACTTATATTAAGCCTTTTGGGATTAGGCCTAACTCCCAGGGCATAACTCGTTTGGATTGGAATAAATTAACACCCACTATGAAGTTCTTTTGCAGTCTCTCCACCTTGAAACCCCTGTACCTCCAGCTGCACTACTAGCTTAGGGGAGAGTCTGCCCATCTATGTCATCCACCCAGGCTCGCCAGAGCCATTGAAATTCCCTGCCTCACGCAGTCCTCTAGGTTGGGTTTTAAAAGATGTAGCAATATATGTAAAATATATATCTAAAGCAAAGATGTACTGATGATCGAACATTTAAGAGGTGGAAAAAGATATGTCAGGCAAATTGAACAAAAGCCATGGTGGCAATTTTAATATTAGCAAAGCAATTATAAGGTGAACATGTCATCAGGGCAAAGGATGACATATACTAGTAACATAATAATACATGATCTTACGATTGTGGGTATGTACGTTGCTAACTATATAGCCTCAAAATATACAAAATAAAAGATTATAGACAGACTAGAAATAGATCAGCACTTTTAGTTGGAGGTTTTAAGATACATAAATAGCCGAGAAGAGCAAAGATTAGAATATTTGAATTATAAAACTAACTTGATCTAGAATATAGATATAGGTCTTTGTACTCAACAGAATAAACATTTTTTAAGGGCATACATGGACTAAAAAATAATAAAAATTGGCTTAACCATTTCTTAATTTGATGAAAACTATAAACTCACAGATTCAAGAAGTTAAACAACTCCAAGCAGATCAACACACACACACACACACACACACACACCAAATCTAGATACCTCAAGGTCAAATTGCTGAAAACCAGAAATGAAATGTAGTGGAGGTAGAAGTTAGGCCTCAAACTTCTCTTCTATAGCATTTAGCACTAGAAGAACAACACTGACAATTCTCAGGAGGGAAAAGCCTGACCCAAGACTTCCTTTGTGTTTTAACTTTGTATATTGTTTATTTAATAACTATTTAGAGTGCAACTATGTGCCAGGCAGTGTTCTTGGCATTGGAAATACACCAATGAGCAAAACAGACACACATGACAGAAACATAATGGAGACTTTAGTTCACCATTTTCAGCAAATGAAGAGGAAGTGAATAAAGGATACATGTTTAGAAGACCCAAACATCATAAAAGAGATGTGACTCATAAATGTCCAATTATGTCCTTTAAAACATGGTGTTTTTTTCAAGCTCTAGAAACATCACAAAAATTATTTATTTGCTTATTTAATGTTTGCCTACTTCCTCTAAATTATGAGCTTTATGAGATGGGAAGGGACCTTGTCTGTCTCATTAACCCCATTTCCCCAGGGCTAATAGGTGACCCATAAATATTTTTGAGTAAGTGAAAGAACACATTCATAAAAGGAAAATACAAATGGCCAGTAAACCCATGGTGGGGAAAAAGCCCAACTTTATAAGCAAAGGTATTTCTGTTCAAATAGTAATAGAATACCATTTTACCTATCAAATTGGCAAAACTTTCAAAAAGTACCATGCTCTCAATCCTTGGTTTGTATATATCAATGCACACCTAGATAAGGTGTCAACTCTGCACAATGTCAAGCAACACAGATAACACAAATAGTTCTTTCCAGTTCCCAATCCCCACATGCAAACATCCAAGGTGAGCCATGAACATCAGGAAATGTACCACTTGTGTATGTCACATCCTAGCTACCTCTCTACTTCAGTGGGTGGCCTGGGCCCAGGCAGATGGCATATCATCCTGATGGACCCACAGCA